TACACAGTCATTGCCAGGAATACACAGTGTAATTGCTACTTTACTATAATTTTATTACAATTTGTACTTTACCTTAATTATCATGCTCAGTAAAAATTTTAGTGAGTTATTTAAGAGGTTTTTGTCCAGATACAATTACAAATAAACAAAATAGCTGAGAAACTTAATCAATAAACAGGAATATTAATTATAATCAAAATCCTATTTTTGAAGAAGATTTAACTGTTGCTAAGTTAAAGACTTTCACCCCTATAATAGCTGTTATTTTGACAGCAAGAGAGTTTCATCTTATTTCATCATGTATTACATAACATAACGCTAATTAAATTTCTTTAAATAAAACAGGTATTAGTAAACCTACTTTAAAACCTAACCTAGTGGCAGCTTATGGTGATGGCAGTGACTCGGACACCGAACCTGAACCACTGGATGTTCTCCAACCTGTGCAAAATCCTCTTAAAGCATGGGAGATGAAGCTAACAGACTTAAAAAAGATGGCTTGCTTACTGTGTAAACGTCAGTTCCCAAACAAGGATGCTCTTACGAGACACCAAAAACTCTCCGACTTGCATAAGGTAAAAAATAATACTTATAAACAGATCTATGGGTTGGGATTATTGTAGTTGTGTTCAGATATTTTAAACAGAATAGCCACAATATCTTACCTGAATTATACTGGTAGATTTACCGTTAGCTGAAAAATACTTGAGTTTATTTAAGTAGATCTAGATTGTTGATATCCCAAAATATTTTTCATGTAGCAAAACATGGAGGCTTTACGAAGAACCATAGACACACAAGAGGTAGTGGAAAAGGATGAGAGAAAGGTATGTACTTTTAGTTTGCTATACCCACACTGCTTCGTGAAACAAGGTGGGGCATATTGGTTTGCCCTTGTCTGTCTACTTTGATCTTGTAGACAGGGTATCTCTAGAATGGATAAATGGATTTAGACCAAACATATATAAGAGATCCTACATACATAGTTCTAGACCTGCTTAACTTTTGAAAGTCATGGGTCAGGGTCATTTGTGTGTTGAATACCTTCCCCAGCTTGTAGACATATTTCAATACAGGACAAATGGATATTGATGAAACTTGTGCAACCTGTAGTATTTTTGAAAATCAAGGTCAGTCAAAATTTTGGACTTAAACATACAGTATAACATTAGTAGGGGTATAGGTGTTTCGTAAACTCAGTTTACATGTGGTATTTGTATAGGTGTTTCGTAAACACAGTTTACATGTGGTATTTGTATAGGTGTTTCGTAAACACAGTTTACATGTGGTATTTGCATAGGTGTTTCGTAAACACAGTTTACATGTGGTATTTTAGTTTCATCAGGCTGTATAAGCGAGAAGTTTTTTTATTAGTGTTTATTTTTTATCCTAATGATGACTGACACTGTATCTAATGGAAAGTTTTAAAAAATTGCCCAGATTTGACAGTGTCACATAAATTTCTAACATTAAATTTATGTAAAATATTTGCACATCAATTTTTTTCCTGTAGTATTTAGAGGTATTCTTAAGTTCTAAAGTCAGTTGAATTAAAATATGTTTGAAGCATGAAATTATTATTAACATAAGATTTGATTTTGTACTCCTTATCAAGTGTATGAAAGAGATTTTAATTGTATGCATTTATTAGTGCATTTTTTTGGTTTTGTTTAAGTTTTTAGAGCCACTCAACTGTCAAGTGATTTTATCTCGCTTGTTTCTTCGAAGCTCTGTGAAACATTTTTCCTGAGCATCTTTTTTAAATACACCCCAAACTAGTTACTGTGTTAACTTTTGAGAATTCTAAGTGATTATATTTTATTATAACATGTTTTTTGGGGTTCTTTTAAATCAGATTTTTCCTGATCATCTTTTTCAGTTATACCTCAAGCTAACTACTGTGTCAATATTTGTGAATTCTGACTATAAAATCGTATAAGTTTCTGTTTCCTCTCGCTTTTGGCTATTTTGTAACCATATTCTGAGACTCTACTGTAGTCTTTCACATCTGCTTTTCTTTTAGTGGAAAGAATATTGCATGTATTTTATGTTGGTAGTTTTGTTTCCTAATACCTAGTATAGGTAGTAGTGATTGATTCTTAGTGAGTTAAGTGAGAACTCTCAAACATTTTCATCTAGATGTCGCATTTACAGTTTCTTTTTTTAGGTTCTAAGGGCTCATCGTAACCACTCTGGTGGTTTTCCTTGGCACTAACTTTTTTCTAGGTAGTAACGCTGTTAACATAACTTGTAGCCTTGATCATGATCTAGTCATACACAGTAAAACCTCTCCAATTTTTTTTTCTCTTGTGTGTTTATCTGTGCAACCTGAAACAGGAAATCATGTTGCTGTTTCTTGTCATTCTGTAAAGACAAATTTTTTTGTATAGTTCTTCATATGTTACTCATTCTGGTTTGTTTCCCCATTGGTATGTAATCATAATAAACATTAAATCTTGTGCATGTGGTCTTGAGTCTTAAGGATGGTTGTATTCTTGTCATTTTGCCAAATTATGTGATTTATAGTATATATTTATTTTGGATAGTAACCAAACATTTGTCTTGAGTCACTAACTGTATACTACATAGCATAATGACCTTTAACCTTCTTATAATAATAAAAAGAAACCTTTCTTTCATTTACCATTCAGAGCTAGTAAGTAGTACAAGAGTTGTGTGGTGTGAAAACAGTTCTTGTGCTACGAGCCCTGATGAAGCCTCAATGGTAAAACACTGACTGAAATAAAATTTTTGTTTATCATTTGCTGGAGAGTAAAGGTCTTTTTTTTTTGTAATTGTATTTCCAAAATTTCAAAATCCCTCGACTGTACACTACACATTTTGAACAACAATAAAATACGTAGCATAATGTTAAAATATTATAGTAATTCATGTTTTCTTTCTGAACGATGAAATTCAAAAGGGTGACATAAATTATGTGAAACTTTAGCACTGTTCAAGTCCTTCATGATGTAAATCTGTAACGTAAGAGAAGGTAACGTCTACAAGTGCTATTTTCTGTTTGATAAGATTTGGTAATTAATGAACTGATTAATAGAGTCACGTTGACATATCTGCAATTACAATTAACAAGTGGTCAGTTAGGAACTCAAGCATGAGGAGTGAAAGAAGTTATAACAGGCGTGCAGAAGTAATGTAGTGTTACTCTGCAGGATGTTGTTTACAAGTAGTGGGTCTGATGCACAAAAATTAGCTAAGTAAATTAGTGAGGGTGATTTTGGAGGTAAGAATGTTTTTCTTCGAAAAGCTTATTATTTGAAAAAAATATTTCAATGCCAGTTATTTGATTATATGTTGAAACTTATTTGTTCATTTGGAGCCTGTTATAATTGTGACTTCACAAAATACAACTGTTATAATAATATGAAAAGACATTGTTATGTATCTGTGGTTGATGTCTCTACTGATTGTAGATTGTGACACAGAGCAATAAAGTATCAATTACACTGTGTATTCCTGGCAATGATTGTGTGTAAAGTAGCAATTAAACTGTGTATTCCTTGCAATGACTGTGTCTGAAAACAAAACCAGATGTACTATACCTAATGAAACAAAACTGAAAACAAAACCAGATATACTATACCTAATGAATCAAAACTGAAAACAAAACCAGATGTACTATACCTAATGAAACAAAACTGAAAACAAAACCAGATGTACTATACCTAATGAAACAAAACTGAAAACAAAACCAGATGTACTATACCTGATGAATCAAAACTTGAAAATAAAACATTTATAACTACAACATATGTAACTTCAAAAATATAGTACAAGCAAATTAAAATCTTATTTATTAAATATTATACAAAAGTGAAGATTTGAGTCAATTTTGTATATTTTTCATTCAAAGTTCTTTATTACATTTTTCAAGCATTTAAAACTTGCTGGTAACACCAAAGAAAAAACACCTCTGAGAAAATATAAATGATTTTATATTAAAAACTATGGTCAGGTGTAACACAACTTTTTTTTTACATATCTCCAATCAAGCCCTTTACAAAACTGAACTTTCACTAGAGATTGCTTTGGTTTCTACCAAAGAATAATTAACTATGTACCTCCAATACATTTTTACAAATACAGCATCAAATTGGCAATTTTCTTGAAACCCTACTTTTATATATAAAACTCCTCAAAAACCAGTTTACTTCTACAATAGTGTTGAAACCACCATCAATCCCCTGAAACATAAATCAGACTAAACTTAGAACTATGAGAAAAACTGGCTTTGAATGGACAACCTAACAATGTTAGCTGACCAACAGATGTTTCTTTTCTCGTTTAACAGAGTGTAACTAGCTGGTTACAGCGAAACAATCTTAAGGAAACACTTAACATCTCCAAACAAGGTTCACAGCATTCTCTAATAGCTCTAGCAACAAGCATTGCATTCACAAACGTACAGTAACACAATAAAAAAATCTTCAAATATTGATCAACAAGTACAGATGTTGTTTTCAAGAAGTCGTGGAATGACAACTATTCAAAATGGATGGTAGGATATGATGCACGAAAGCTAAGAATTGGAATATCTTCCCTACAGAAAAAGCTGCCGGTACCAAATGAAGTTTGTATGCCACAGCCTTTATCTTTTGTATCTTGGCTACTTAAATTTTTACTGTCTACAAAATAAAATAACAACTTTTATAGAATACATTTATTTTCTTTAAAAAAGAAGAAATAAATCATACATTTTTATACGATATTTCTATTATCTAACAAATGAAAACTTTGTATTTTAAAGAATATATTTATTGCTTAAAAACGTGGGAATAATCATGCATTATTACACAATATCTCTATTATATAACGGATGACAAAACCACACCTCTAACACAATATCTATATTATATAACGGATGACAAAACCACACCTTTAACACAATATCTATATTATATAACGGATGACAAAACCACACTTTTAACACAATATCTCTATTATATAACGGATGACAAAACCACACCTTTAACACAATATCTCTATTATATAACGGATGACAAAACCACACCTTTAACACAATATCTCTATTATATAACGGATGACAAAACCACACCTTTAACACAATATCTCTATTATAT